CTACAGAATTCTAGAAGCATTTGTCGGAAGTCAGTACATGGTGGGGGAAGAATATAGACCAAGAGCTGTCGACTGGTGGCCTGTAGACATCAGGCCATATTCTATTTGACACACAGTTTTTTTTTAAGAATTAGACAATTTCATATAAAATGTCAGATTTCTGGCTTCTCTGGAAAAACTGAAAAGCCTGATAACACTAAAATTAAAAGATTACACATAAAAGTATTAGCCAGATCTCAGGAGATGCAGTCCCCTTCAGATGGGGTATCAGTTCCAGAATGTGGGCAGGTGGGTGCCCACCTTCCTCACAGAGGTGCTGAACCTCAAGCCTGGAATGCACCTGGACAACCACAAGTCCAGCTGCCCTGAGATGCTTGAGTGTCCTCCTCACATCCCCCCAGACAGCCTTCCGGTCTCAGCTTGACCCAGCGGGGCTGAGGACAGAGGTGCAGCATACCTGGCTCCAGGCCTTCCTGTCCTCATCCCTGACATCTGCCTGGTCACTCTCCTGAAGCAACTTCTTCTTCGTGCTGTTTGCTAAAGTCCTGATCCCCTGGCTCCACTATGACTGGCAGCTAACTTATTCCTGTTGCCCTAACAGGCACCCCTTACGTATTCTCACTCTGCTCCCCCAAAGCCATTCAGATACCCTTTTCCATGCCTCATCTCCCCTCTGCCCCAGACAGGCCCTGATGGTCTCAGCAACTCAGGTGCCCCCCAGAGTGTTTACAAAGTTACCATGACTTACTTCTTGAGGATAAAATCTCAGTTTGCATTGAAACTGAGCCACAAGCACCTCCGCCTTAGTTTGTGCTCTCCTGGGACCTTTCGACAGGGATTTGGAGGCAAGTAGTTTATTTGAGAGGTGGAGGAAACCTCAGTAGAGAGTGGGGAAATGGGGAGAAATCAATATAGGGTTTACTAACAAGCCATTACCAGCATGGACAGCCAGAGCTGAATCCCGGGAGACAATGCAGAGCGCACACAGACCCCAAGGGGTAAGAGACCTGGGATATTGACACACCACCTCCCATCAACCCATGATGAAGAGCTACTCCCCGGGGACATTACTCCCAGGGGACATTAATTCCCCACCATTTTTAGCCTGTCACTTGGGCAGGCAAAGCAGGCTCTGGAAACCCAAGAAAAACTTAATGTAAATAAAGCAGGCAGGATGATTGGCAGTCGGCTGAGTTGCCTGGAAAAGCCAAGCGCAAGGGAGTGTGAGCGAGGCACCAACAGCATCAGCTCTGACCCCCACTGAGAAAAGAGGGGTCTTTTAACACAATCACCTATTTTCTAGGCCCCAGAGAGTCAGGCCTGTGGGAAATAGCCTTTCAAATGGAAGTCTCAGTAAAATTCCAAGTGACCCAATAAAAATGTATAGATGCCAGGACACCCCTCTTATTTTATCAGGTTTTAGAAAGAAAAAAAGTAAACCACATATTATTTGACCTTGTACATATGTCCTGCCAGGTAGAGGAATCTGTGTTGGAATTATTACTTTATTACTTTACCAAAAGCAAGAGTCTATTTTTACCTGTATGTATGTGAAAATCCTCCTGCCTAGCAGCTCTGTATATTATGTTAGAATGAGTCTTAAATGTCAACAGCTTTGCTGGAACCTTTATAACCATGGCCATGTCAAGCAGACAGCTTAGGTTATTGAGTTATCATTTTTTAATCACTGACTCCAAATAGAACTCAACCAAATCTAAGCCTCTGGTCTGTGGCCACTTCTATCCAGAAGCTATTTGGAGTTACATTTTTATGAAATATTTTCTTGGATTTTTTTTTTCATATGCCTTATTCTCCCCCTCCTGCCAGAATTTATCTGATTCTAGAAAATCTCCCTGTCACCTCAACTCCATAGGGAGCTTAGAATCCACCCTCCATCTCAGAGTGATTGTGTAAAGGCTTAAAATGGTTCCTGCTGCTTGACACATAATGAATGTAATGAGCATCTGTTGGCAAACTCTAAGCCCCAGTGCCTCCTTACTGGATTAATGTTGTCATTCTCCTTTTTTCCTTTTGTAAATTTTAATTGGTGTCCAGGTATCTCACGACTTCGCAATCAACTTTAATGAAGACAACCCAGAATGTGCAGGTAAATCACAACGTGAAAGGAAGTCAGTGTTTCACAGCCCTTCCCTTCGTACTTTTCCCATTTTAGTTTCTCTCTCCTGATGCAGTATGTCAGTGATGATTGTCCACAGAGGAGAAGTAGGCTCCCTGGACCCAAATAAACATGCTACTCTGAAGGCCACAACAGAGCAGAGACGTAAGAGCTGGAAAAGACAGAATGCAGAAGAGGTCTTGAGCTTAGAGCAAGAATATTGATTCCAATTCTGGATTCTTCTGGCCAAAAAAACCCAAAAAACAAAAAAATTTGAGGGAAGGGTCACGTCATGGGCAGTGATGAGGTACCCCTCCTTCTGCTTTCCAAGTTGTCATCAAGTATTTATTTTGCACAACTTCCTCTCTGTGAAGTAATAAGGAAAGGGGGAAGCGTAGAGATCATGTGACACTTTCATGTTGTCAAAGGATATGCCCTCAGCAACTTCAAACAAGTCACTTCATGGTTTTGTGCCAGAAAGAGCCTTCTCAAAGGCTTTGGTCTGTATAATGTTATTTCCAGTTAGAAATTCCCCAAGACATTCCACAAAATAATGATGATGACTATGATGATAAATTGTATCCTAGAATCATTTTTCCTGATTTCTAAATAATAAATAGAGCCAAGTACACCTGTTGCTATGAAAATGGTAAGACATTTTTGCAGTGGGCTGGTGGAAATGTCTGTCTCTCCTCCTTCCTGTAGAGGAGGAAGGGGCTGAACAGGGTTAATTCAGATCCTGTGGGGGATGTAGAACATCCCGCAGTTTCTTTCACAAATTTGGCACTAACTGTCCAAGAACATGACATCAATATCCCCGGGTCTGCACGCAGCAACCTATGAGACCAGATCTCCATTCTGCCCTTATTCCCTCTCATCATCCCTCACGCCAAGTTTATTACAGTTTAGGCTTCCCTCATCTCAAACCATTCCCTCTCTTCAACTGTAAGAATGGTTTTCCATCAAAGAAGAATGAAGGACATATCCAGTGTTAACCCATTTCACATCTTAGAATTCACCTGCCTGGTATTTTTGGAAGAGAACTCAGACTTGCTTATCTTAGGCAAAACCTCAAAAACCAAAACAGGTAAAGAGCTTCTGTTCAGCATCACTTAACTTCAGAACCAGGCTATGTAATGATTTGGCACCTGTCTTTAGAATGGCAGACTTTGGGGCAGGACAAAGAGAATGAAGCATTTTCAGTCATTTTCATACACATTTTGTTACATGCATGTGTATAAAGGCAGAACAGAACACAACTTGCTCATCCAAGATACCCAAAATCTGGTTGGCAGGATGTGGAGGGAAAACAATCACAGGAGGGGCTTTGTGGGTCTCTCTGGCTTAAAACAGGACCAGTGTGCTGTTTCAGGGTAGAAAGGGGTGCAGGAGGATGAGATGAAACAGGGGAAGAGAGAGGTAACACAGGCACAGACACAGAGAGGACCATTTGAACAAATATCATTGGTAATGGGACTGTCTCTGTGGGATCACAGTTAGAACATTCAGTGTGCAGCCAAGACTTACACTGGGAGGAGCTACACTAGCAGGGCTGCCTCTTCCAGCAGAGCCCACCCATCATGATCTCTTGGATGGAAGCCCCCCTTAAATGGGGGTGCCCATGGTGATGGACGTCACTCACCTGTACTACAGTCCCTGGCAGACGACTGTGACCATCATTTTGCTCATTCATCACACATTTGGGGAGCAGCTACCATGTGCCCGATCTGCCTCGAGCTCATGAGAAAGAAAGTCACAATTCCTACCCACAAGGACTTTAACATCTGGAGAGATGGTTGTGGTACACATCACTCACATAGGTGGCCCCAGGGTGGTTATACTAGAGTCAACAGGACGGTGTGAAAATGAGAGGGATGTTAAAGCTGTGAGCATGGCCCTTAGAGCCAGACACACCTGGGTGTGAATCCTTAGTCTGCAGCAAACCTCTCTGAGCCTCAGTTTCTTACCTGTAAAATGGGTACAATGTTGGCTTCATTACAATAGGAGGATCTAATGAAATCTATTGTGTAAGGTGAGACATAAGGGAGACACTGGTGGAAATGATCGCTTTTGACTTGAACCTTTAAAGAGAATGATTTCAGACCAAAATGATTTCTCTCTGAGTTTTAAGTTGTAGGGTTGCAAAGTATTCCCAGTATGAATCCCTTATTTTTGAAAGTGTAGAAAAAGATTTGGGAATACATAGGTTTGTAACTGACATTTTTTTAATGGATCTAGAATATTCTCTTTGTCATAAAAAGCTTGTTTGTATTCTGTAGCAAACACAATCATTCATTAATAAATTCTTCCCAAGTCAATTTCAAAAAAAAAAAAATAAGTAAAATGAATAAAGAAAATGATTTCAGTGGGAGTGGAGGCAGAAATACCAGCCCAGATGTGGTATTTTCTTTTTTATCTTAAGAACATAAATGTGCTATTGATAAGGACTATTTGGGGGAAGTTAATGCTTCATTTGTGTGTGTGTATTTGATTATAAATATATTTAGGGGGACTATTTAGCTATTGATCTTTGCCAATTCCACCTCAGGGATTCAAGGAGTTGTGGAAGCCTACCAGAGCTGCCTTCCCAAACTCCAGCTCTATGGCCCCACCAACATCGCTCCCATCATCCAGAAGGTCGCCAAGTCAGCATCAGAGGAGACCAACACTAAGGAGGCATCAGTAAGGAGAGGGGTGGTCTGCCTGCTAATGGGCATTTACCCATCCTCATCTGGATACTGGCCACAGCACCTATCCCAATCTGACAATAAATTTGCATTTCTGCCTGTGTGAGTTTGAAGAAGTGACTTAACCTTCCCCCTGTCCTCAGTCTCCTCACCTGAAAAATAGGGATAATCATGCCTATCTCTGCTGGATTAACATGAGGCTTAGAGATGACATAACTCAAATGTCTGCAATGTTACCTGAACACAGAAGGCCTTCAACAGGGAAAGCCACTATATTCACTGGAGTGTAGGTCATCCTCATAAAACTCATACTCACCTTCAGTTCCTAGGAAGGAAAAAAAAACAACTGTCTAAAACTAAGCTTGCTTTCCAGTGTAGTGTACCCAGACTACAGATGGAAGTGAAGTAAAACAATGGGTTATTCTTCTGCCTGGTAGTCAAGTGAAGTAACACACAACATCACAGTGAAGGTTTATTTCAGGTCCTATTAGTGGTTTTCTTAAGAAAAATGCAAACCAAGGTTACAAAGCCAAATAGAGTTTGTTTTTTTCCCCTAATATATTAGACTTAAATATATTGCTGTAATAGCTTTTCTATGCATCATTTTTCAATATCGTCATTATGTCCTATGTCCTTTTTTAGCTTTATGACCTTTTCTCAGATTTAGCAGAATATTGCTAATGTCCGAAATTTTCTCTGTGATTTTATCCTGGGTTCCAAGACACTGAATTTGCATGAAGAATATGATACTCTGCTCCCTTACCTTCTTGTGTGAGCTCATCTGACCCCCTTGCCCTGTGCCTGTGTTCTCAGCTTCTCTTGTGTTAGGATGGGCTGGACCACACTCCTGTCTCATGGTGACCTCTGCTCTGTGCACTGCAGCACACACCTCCCAACTATTAGGGACACTAACCTCATACTTATATTCCCTTTCTCGCCTCATCACCTATTTTTCCCTTTCTACTGAAGACTCATTCCTATTAGCAAATAAAGCATGTTACAGTATCTCTTGTTTAGGTTCAAAGCTCTCTCAACACTTTACCCGTTAGGTACTGTCCCTTATTTTACTCTCTTTTACAGCAAAATTCATTGAAAGAACTGCCCATATTCACTGCCTCCATCTCTCCTCCCATTGACCCTTCCACCTGTACCACCCAAACTTTGCTCCCCAACACCCCTGTGAAGACCATGTTTGTCAAGGCAATAGCATCTCCATCTTTCCAAACCCACAGAGGCCTTGAAGCAAATCTGAATCCTCTCAGATGCAAGATTTAGGCATAGGGTTGGACAGGATCAGTATTTAATTTTATTTTTAACCTTTTTTTTAATCACCAGGACTTCAAATTCAAATACTTCAAATAATACCTTGCTCAGAAACCAAACACATAAAATAGATTTTAAGAAAACAGACTATTTTTGCTAAATATGGGCTGAAGGATGGGGTCCAAACTTGTCTATTCTCGTTGACTCCCTTTATCCCCAAGAGCATCCAAGGCATCCCTAGGACTCCCCGGAGCCCAGTTTGAATCATCTCAGCCTCCCTGGGGTACCAGGACTCACATGAGTAAAGAGAATCTGACATAGGTCTGAGTTCTGGACTAATACAAACCAGCATGAGGTTTTGACTATTACTCACTCCTCCAGGGACAGATGGGTCTGCTCTGAAAGGACAGGTCAGGAAACAGTACTGGAAGCATCTAATCCACATCTCCCCAAATAACTCACTCCTATAGGCCAGAAACACTGATGCTTTCCCCCAGAGGTTTCCATTATCTTTTGAACAGTGTGTGGTCCAGGGCCCCTTGTTATCACTGATTGCTAAGGGTCCTAACCTTGAACCTTGTAGGCAAGTGGTGCCAGGAAGTCTGTGGCTGTAGGATTTTCTCCTCAGTTTTGTGGAACTCTTCTAGAAAGAAAAAAAATGTCCTCTCCTTATGTAAGCAGGACCTCAAGTACATTCAAAGACTATAATATTTCACCCATGAGCACTTTCCTAGCCTGACTTTGGAAGCAAATGTTACTGTGACCTTTATTGGAAATTTCCATCATGGTTTTGATCCAACAGTCTGCAGCCTATTACCTTTAGCTAGATTAAACCTGGAAGGATCAGGTTCTAGAATCTTGACAGTCTCTTCAGACCAGAGCTTCTTAACCGTTTTTGTTCCATGGACACCATTAGCAGCTGGTGAAGCCCATGGACCCCTCCTCAGAAGGGCCTTTAAATGCACAAAATAAAACATATGTTATAAAATAAACCAATTATATTGAAATTCAGTTAGCAAAATATCTTTAAATGTTACATAGAAGCATCATAAATATAGTAATAAAATTAAATTATGAGAATTTGTGGCTGGCCTAATAATTCTGTAATTTCTAAGTAGTGTTGAATGTAAATGACATGTTAAGATATTTGCAAACACTGTAAGATAACAGGAGAGTATTCTGTGATTTCTATTAGTGACTCAATCACAGGTACAGTTAAAACTAATTTTATTTGTTAATTATATTTAGAATTGAAAAAAATGATAAGTTTTAGTTAGAGATTAGTGAAAATAAAACTTTAATTTACCCCAGCTGCACAGACTGCCTGAATTCTTTCAACTCAACAGTCCGCAAGCCTAGGTTAAGATCCCCTGCTCTAAATGAAAAGCCAGCCACATTCTGCAACCTGTTTTTCAGTGACTTGCTAGGTAAGAATGGCTTTTACATTTTTAAATGATTGAAAAAAATCAAAAGGAGAATAATATTTCGTGGCACACAAAAGTTATATGACATTCAAACTTGTGTCCATCAGTAAAGTTTTATCGGAACACAGCCATGAACATTCCTATCAAGCACTGTCTATGGCTGTTTTCATTCTAATAGGCAGTTATGTCATTGCCACAGACATCATTATGGCCTGCAGAGCCTAAAGTATTTATTATAGCCCCTTTACAGAAAATATTTTGCCAACGTCTGCTCTAGACCACAACAACTCTAAACTTTCTTGATGTGGTTGTGTGACTGTCAGGTTGTTTGCTCCTGTAGGTATTGTAGGGGGCAGGTAGGGGAGATCCGTGCCCTGGACCATGAAGGTTGAATCAGACAGGAGTTAGGGGAGGGTGGGGTGTGGACGATGAGGGCACAGAAGTGTGATTCACTCAAGAGCCCACCTGCTCAGGAATCAGGATGAGTCTCCATCCAGGTGTGGCACCTGCCATGGCCTCCAAGGCACACCCTGGGAGGAGTCATTTCTGGTTTCCTACACTGCTTCCCTCCAGCCCCAGGCCACCAAGCTGCCTCCTTCTGTGCCTTCTCCTTGCAACTCCCTAGCTCCTCAATCACTTCACCCAACTGAAACCTTCCTCCAAACTCCCAGGCCACCTTCTCTGTGAATGTATAAGACTTATAAAGCATAGGTATGGATGAAAATTGACAATTCGAATGAATTTGAAAATTGATCAACTAGAACTAGGGGTGGGTAGTTAGTGGACATGGAACAGAATTAGTCATATATATATATATATATATATATATATATATATATATATATTTGTTTATTTATTTATTTTTGTCTGCATTGGGTCTTCGTTGCTGTGCACAGGCTTTCTCTAGTTGCGGTGAGCGGGGGCTACGCTTCATTGAGGTGCTCAGGCTTCTCATTGTCGTGGCTTCTCGTTGCAGAGCACAGGCTCTAGGCTTCAGTAGCTGTGGCATGTGGGCTCAGTAGTTGTGGCTTGCAGGCTCTAGAGCTCAGGCTCAGTAGTTGTGGTGCACGGGCTTAGTTGCTCTGCGGCATGTGGGATCTTCCCAGGCCAGGGCTCAAACCTGTGTCCCCTGCAATGGCAGGCAAATTCTTAACCACTGCGCCACCAGGGAAGCCCCAGAATTAGTCTTTATATTAAACTGTATGGAAAGCATTTAGGACATGTGACTGTCTTCATCATAGTCTGAATTTCTCTTCTCTCTAATTGCATTTTTGACTGAGTTGTTTTGTTTAAAAACATTTTTTTCAAACTCACAGAGAAAAATGGGATCTCTTTAGCACTGCCAGCCTATATGCAGCTTTCTAAGTGTGAATCTCAAAAACAGATGTTTTCAACATGTGATTATTCTACCTAGCCTTTCACCTTTGAAATGTGGCAACTTGGAATGGTTTCATCATCCCACATTTATTCCCTGTAGATGTAGAACATATTGCAAAGATTACATTAGAAATTCTTTTGGGTTTGGCATGAGCAGCATCTCAGTGACCTCCTTCCCTCCCCTCTCACCTGAGAGGCTGTCATGATGCCCCTAACGACTAAGGACAGTGATGTCCTCCACTGGGCTTTCCCTCTCCAGACCCCGTAACCCTTCCCAAGCCCTTCCTGTGCTGATGAGCATGAAGCCTTCTCTCCAATCTCCATCTCAGATGAGTCACCCACCAGCCTGTCCAACCAGGACTTAGAGCAGGAAGAGTCTTCTGCCCACATCCTTGGAGAAGGGCAGCCACCTGCAGGCCACTCACTAGCCCAGGGCACACAGCCTTCAGAGGGAGAGACTGTGACCCTTGCCTTTTCTAGCAGGGCTTTTAGCACAGTGCCATCCACTAGAAATACAGTGGGAGGCATGCAGAGATTTTAAATTCTCCAGTAGCCCCATTTAAAAAAGTGAATAGAAGCAGGGAAATTAATTTTAATAATATATTTTATTTAACCCAGTATAACTAAAACATTATCATCTTAAGAGATATTCCATATAAAAATTATTAATAAAATATTATACATTCTTTTTTTTTTACTAAGTCTTCAAAATCCAGTGTGTATTTTATACTCACATCATCTCAATTTGGATGCTAAATTACCATGGAAAATACTTGATCCTTATATAGATTTTATAAGTTGATAATTGAGAAAGTGGATTCACATATTTATAGTTGTTCCAAACGTACTTAAAAGATTTCCAATAACTCAATCGGGTATCCACTTTTTAAAGTTAAATTTAAATTGATTCAAATGAAATAAAATGAAAATTTCTGTTTCTCCATTGCTTTCACCACATTTCAAGGGCACCATAGTTACATGGAGCTGGTGGCTATTGTAAATATTAGGCAGCTCGGCTTTAGACTCTTGCAAATCTCCAAGCTGAAGAGGACCATATGAATGATCTAGCCCCACCCCTCATTTGAGAGATGAAGAGGCTGAGACCCAGAGGAGTTAAGGGAAAATTCCCAGCATCTCAGAGCAAGAGGCTTTGAAGCCAGCCCCCCTGACTCTTCTGCTGCTCTGTCTACACCCTGTGCTTTGTAACCATCATTAAGGTGATTATTAGAATTAATCTGCAATTACTGTGCCTGCCTTTAAGCTCCATTCATCCTAAGTCTTCAGTGTTTAGGGTTGTCAACATGGGCACTCAGGAAAAGTCAGTTGTCACTTGCTGTGGTCAGTATGCACCGGAGCCGCCGGAGTGTGTAACTGGCTTTGTCCTTGTCTCTCCCACCTCTCCATCCCCATCATCTCCTGGTGTCCCACCGATGGCAGCAATACTTCATCCTGCTGATCCTGACTGACGGGGTCATCACAGACATGGCTGACACGAGGGAGGCCATCGTCCATGCCTCCCACCTCCCCATGTCGGTCATCATCGTGGGAGTGGGCAACGCAGACTTCAGTGACATGCAGATGCTGGACGGTGACGACGGTATTCTGAGGTCGCCTAAGGGAGAGCCCGTCCTTCGCGACATCGTCCAGTTCGTGCCCTTCAGGAACTTCAAACACGTACGTATATCTCGGGGGCTTCCCCTGGGAGAGCAGAAGCCCCCCCCCCCCCCC